AAAACAAGTGGACTTGCCTCTAGAGCAGTGGTTCTCAACCTGTGTGTCGTGACCCCTTTGGCGGTCGAACGACCCTTTCACAGGAGTCGCCTAAGATCATTCTGCCTATCAGATATTTACATTACGATTCATAACAGTAGCAACATTACAGTTATGAAGTAGCAACGAAAATAATTTTATGGTTGGGTCACAGCATGAGGAACTATATTTAAAGGGCCAGAAGGTTGAGAACCACTGTCGGCGCTGGCCCCGAAAAAGGGATTCAAGAGAAGGCAGTGACCAAGGCGCAGAGGATAGAGGGCAAGAAGAGAGCAAGGGCAGCCTTACATAATCCCGGAATGAGCGAAGGACACAGAAGTGCTCATTGGGTCAAGAATGTGGTTTAAGTGAATTTTTTCTTATATGTTCACAATGATTCTATTGGAGGATATTTCAACCTTACCTGTGAATGAGGTGCACGGGGAATGGAATTTAGCACCAGGAAATTCCCAAGCACCTACCAAATTTATCTTTGAGCCAAATAATTATAAACATTTCCCACTGTATTGACTCAAACACCATGAGTGTGTGGTTCCGTAGTGAGTGCAGCGGTTGGCACATCTGCTTTACACGCAGAAGGCCCTGGGTTCCATTCCAGTGGGACCAGTGAAGCAGCCTTCTCTTCTCTCCCCGCTCCAAGGCAAACAGGGATCTCTGGTTTGCGATTCTGTCCTGTTGAGTCTCAGATCCACTGACACCTGAGCTCAGCTTGTCACCGACAATTGTCCTGTGGCTTCTGCTTCCAGACACAAGGGACGTGGAGAATGGTTTCAGGGAAACCTGAGGGCTGGAGTCACTAACCATCCCTTTTTTTCTCTCTCTTAATTTTTATTGTTGAAAGTAGTACATAGGTCCCCCTTTTCTCCTATTAACCTCTTCCAGCCGCTCCCGTCCCCTTCCCCCCAAGGGTTATGCATATATGCATGCAAGTTCATTGGTTGATGTCTTCCCAGCCACCCTCCCTTCCCTTCCCTCTGAGGTTCAACAGTCTGTTCATGCTTCTGTGTCTCCGGGTCTATGTTGCTAATCAGTTTATTAGGTTCATTCGACTCCACATGAGTGGGGTCATGTGATACTTATCTTTCTCTGACTTATTTTGCTCAGCATCATACCCTTCGCGTCCATTCTTGCTGTTGTGGATGGTAAGAGTTTTCTTTTTCTGTGTAGTATTCCATTGTGTAGATGTACCATCTTTTTTTTTTTTATCCATTCATCTGCTGATGGGCACTGAGGCTGTTTCCAAGTCTTAACTGTTGTAAATTGTGCCGCTATGAACATAGGGCTGCTTATATCCTTTCTGATGCGGGTTTCAGGTTTCTTAGGATATAGTCCTAGAAGCGGGGTCTCTGCTCACAAACACACCTGGAAAATGCCCAGGTCAATCTTGTCACCCTCCTGCTTCCTGCAGAGCAGACTTGGTGACGCTCACTCCGTGCCACACGATGTCATTGTGACCCTATAACAAGTGCCTGGCACCAAGTACTGCACTGTACCTGCCAGGCACCCTTTGCTCTGAGCAAACCAGGGAGTGTGGGCCTTCTTCACCTGCTCGCTCACCTGGCATTATGGGTTAGTTCTGCACCCGGTGCAGGACTCTGACCTTCTCACTAATGTTGGGTCTGGTCAAATAACTGAGTCAATACCCCTCCCCTGGGAACTGACTTTTAGGCCACTTCACTATGGATATCCCCTTTTGCTTAGACCACATGCCACTTGCTAAGGCTATTATCTCTCCCCTCCAGACCTTCCAAGGATCCAGACCTGCACAGAGAACTCTGTGCCCAGAAAAGCCCGCCAGAGTCCTTTAAAACCTCTGATGCCTGTCTTTGGGTGCTGGCACCATTGGGAGCTCTGCCTATCTGGTATCCAGATGACCTAATCCTATATAATAAAGAGGTAATATGCAAATTGACCCTCACTCCATCACACCATCACAAGATGGCTGCACCCACAGCAGAGGCAGGGTTCCCGTAATGAGCCTTAACGAGCGATCAGCAGGGACCTGAGGCTGCATGGCACTGGGCCAGGGCCGGGGAACTCAGGCTGCGTCCCCCGGCCAGTGGGGCTTGATGGGGGACCTAAGTCTGTGCCCCTCAACTGGTGGGGCTTGATGGGGGCCCTGAGGCTGCGCCCCCTGCCTGGTGGGGATTGATGGGGGCGCTGCCTGGGTCTGGATCTCGCACAATTTCGAGGTGCACGCAGGTGGATGGGGACTTGACTCTGGGTCCCGCAGTGTGCCCCAGACTCTGATAGGAGGAAGATTTTCATATATATTTTACTAATTTTATTTCATCTCTGACACTTCTATTATAAAGGGCAAATAGCAATATTAAAATATTTCCTCTAATGAATTCCCTTTTAATGTGTATGAGATTTGTGCACCAGGCCACTAGTAAATTTATACTGCTTACTACTTTCAGCTTCATGTGTTCCTCCTTTGGCGACCCTAACATATGTCTTTCCAGAAACTTTCCCAGTTTGTCACATTCCAGAACAACATTTACTACCTCCAAATTCTTACAGCAGTTAATATTAAATTAAGGTTATCGTAATAGACTGTATTTACTATTAACTATATAAAATATATTTTATATATGTCATTACATATGTACATAACAGACATAGATATATAATTTATATCAAAATATAATAGTATTACTCTGTCATTTATGGTATGTTATTTTATTAAGTACTTGAGGCCCTTGCACGAAGAGATTCATGTAATAGGCCTTCCCTTCTCCTGGCTGCAGGCACCGGTTTTCCTCCAGCACTCGGGACCCAGGCCTTCTCTCCAGCCTGAGCCTTCTGTCTTCACTCTGCCACTTCATGCCTATGTATGCAAATTAATCGCCACCTTTGTTGGGTTAATTTGCATACTCTCCTGATTGGCTGGTGAGCATAGCGGAAGGACGGTCAATTTACATGTTTGTCTATTATTAGGTAAGCTAGTTCAAACTTCAGTAATTTGAGTTCCACTTTCACAATATTTTTTTTTTCTGTATCGGGATATAATCTAAACTATTATTTACTTACGTTTTTTCTTTAAATATACTCTTTATAAAACAGTATTTCAAAAGACAACTTTACATCACTACCCTACCTCTGACCATGAACAGAAAAGAAACTCACAATGGAAGAGTATTTTTTCTTTATTTCCATCACAACTTTGGATCAATATTTTAAAAAAATATTCAGCTCCAGGTACATGCTGTTTACTGTGGTGACACAGAGCTCGAGACAAGCTCTGGGTCATGAAGGTAAAAGGGGGAAGAGTGGGTGGGATCAGCAAATGCCAGTGGGGTACCCACTGACACTTTACCAGTTAGTTCATCAGAACGATGGAAGGAGCAGAGGAGAGAGAATGATATTTGAGTCTCAATTTCAATATTTTAACCACCAAAGTTCACATACTATTTACCATAATTTCCTGGGCTCCCCATGGCACTTTGTACAGATCTAGGAAAACGTTAGTTTAATTAATGTATTAAACTGAACCACTATTATATGCCTAACTCAGGAAATATAAAAATATATAACTCAAGAAGTTCACATTGTAGTAAAACATTTATAGTGATACTTTTATTTCTCAAGCTTTTTTTAAAAAATACACTTTTATTGACTTCATAGAAGAAGGGAGAAAGAAATGGAAACATCAATGATGAGAGAGAGTCATTGATCGGCTGCCTCCTGTACGCCCTGGGGATTGAGCCCCAAACCAAGCACGTACCCTTGACCAGATTCAAACCTGGGACCCTTCAGTCCACAGGCCAACACCCAATCCACTGAGCCAAACCAGCCAGGGCTATTTCTCAAATTTTTAAATCATTACTTAATCTGTTGACAGAAAAAAAATCTATGTGATACATTTTTCACGGTGTCTTTTAGATGTGCCTTATCCAGGCATCAAGAACATGCTTGGAATCAGTGTTGTTACCGTAAGGAAACATTCAAACCTGTAAAAAAATGTTGTGTTTCTTTGAGCCAAACTGTCGACAGAAGCAGAATCTCACCCCATTGAGACAATGCTCTGGAAAATGGTGGTTTTTCACCCATTTTTATACATTACAATCAAAGGAGGAAACATAAACGGGTCCATAAAATTCACTGGTGACAGATTAGGAAGGCGCAGAAAGCAGTGCTGGAAAACCTCCGGATTCTTTTGCACAATTAACATCATAACAATAACAATTAAGGAACCTGTGGTCGTCCTGGTGCCCTGGGCATTGGATGTGCCCTGAGGGGTTCAGAAAAAAGGACGTTGGATGGCAAGGACAACAGACAGGCTTAGTTATGGTAAAGATAGACTCTTGTCAGGGAAGAAGCTAGCCTAGGACTACCTGCCATAAACTGCTTTCAGTTAGAACGTTTTCACTTCAGACCTTCCTTTGTGGTGACTTTAGGTCTCTCGAGTTTGCAAGACCACCACACAGGCCTCGCCTGAGCTCGTCAGGCTAGCAGGTGGCCCCTTTCGTCCGCAGTGTGCGCCATCTTATAAAGTCCTGAAGAAACCGGGGCCTTGTTATTGTCTCCATGTTGCTGAAGAATCACGTTGGGGTCCAGCCCCAGCAGGTCCAGGGGTTCCCAAAGGCGTGGACGGAGTCAGCAAAGAAGCAATGACACGGAGACAGCGTTCAGGTGATCAGCATAGCCAGGTTCTCTCTTTATTTTCCTGTTACATCTGTATTTATACCATTTGAACCTATCAGCATGCCTCTATAATCACATCATGGTATGTTTTGGGTCCTCCATTTATTCTCTTCCTTAGTCCTGTTAATCCCTAACTCCAGGGAAACATCCCCACCTGGGGAAACAACCTTTCTCAGGGAGGTGGGTCCTGGTTAAAACACATAGCGCTAAGAGGGGGAACAAACATATGCCATATACGCCAGGTCCCTTGAAACATATGCTGTGCAGATGTTTCTTCCCTGCTGCGACTGTGTCAAGCAGCAAGGGTGGACCGGCTTCCAGCAATCACAGGCTCACCTGGCTGGCTGGGTGGCTCTTCTGGAGTGTTGTTTCTCTCTCTTCCTCCCTCCCACCTTTTCTCTCTCTCTCTCTCTCTCTCTCTTAAAAAAAAAAAAAAATCAATAAACATATCCTTGAGTGAAGATTAAAGAAAAAGAGAGAATCACAGGCTCGTTGAAGTATCAACGACACACAGCTAGCAGGCATCAGTCTACTGAGGTGATAAAACTCAGGAAAAACCGTCCTTTAGAATCAGATTTTTCTCATCCATTTCTATGCTTCAATCTCTTTCTTTCTGTTCTAGAAATTATTCTTTAGGTAAAAAAATATTGACAAAAATTATTTGGAGCAAATCATGTGAATTATTGAAGCTGCCAGCTATAAATTCCAATGAAAACCAATAAAGTGACATACGTGCTGGCGTGTGAACCTTGCCTAGATGGGCCAGAATGCCCTCTGCATGTTCATCTTTTGTTGTGT